GGAGTTCCTTTTCCCGCCACGCCCGCGCTCGCGACAGGGGGCGGAGCTTCCTGAGGGGACGGGCCCGGGTGGGGTTTAACGCACTTAAAGCTCGCAAATATTTGTATATAACCCCTGTATGAGGGTAAAAAATGTGTATGTGCGTGCGTTAAATTCGTCTCTGTGCGTTAGAAAAGTATTTGTGCGCAAATGTATATTTGTGTGGATTTGAATCTGTAAACACCGCTTTAAAGAGCCCCCACCTCTGTTTTGACCGCAAAAAATGGAGCCGGCCCGTTTGCCTGAAGCAGGGGCACCTCAGGACCTACGTCGTCCACCCTTGTGCTAATCCACACGTAGAGAAGGACAGCTTTTTTTAAAGCCGTGTTTTTCAAGCCTTGGATTTTTAAGATGACACATCCGAACTCCCATTTTTGACCCAAGAGAAACCTTTTTGCCCCAACAACGGCCTTTTTACGCCAAAACAGCCTTATTAATTCAGCAATGGCCTTTTTGCCCTAAGAATGGTCTTTTTGTTCCAAGAGGAACATTTTTGCCCCAAAACCAATCTTTTTTACCCACTAACAGCATTTTTGTCCCAAGAAAAGCCTTAAAGAGGGAGATTATACACAACATTTTCAATAACCCTCCCCAGGGAGCTTTTCTTCAGATACCTCCCTCCTCAGCTCTTCTGTGTTCCCTGCTCCATGTTTTTCCCCATTTTTCATTATTTTACATTTTTTTAAGCCATAAGGCTTATTAAAACAGGCCTGATCCACTAAATGCTTCCAAAAACTTGAAAAGTTTGGGTTTTCTGGCTTGTTTGGCTGTGGGTCTCTGAAGGCAGGAGCCCGAGAACAGCCAATGTCAAGTTGTTCCCAAATAATTTGGTAAAAGCACCTGGAATGCCAACCTGTGGGTAATGACAATGACAAACCTGACCCAGCCAGGGCTCACCACCCCTCACACAGGAGATGCAGGACTGCAACCTCGTGGTCACAAGCACAAAAGATAGCTGAATTTGTTAATTTGAGCTTTTTAATGTATATACAAATGTTTTAGACCAGTCACAATTTCATCGAGTATATACCGTATTTACAAAAATTACAATAATTTAGTCAAACAGTAAACCTGAACATTGATAACCTCTGTCACTACCAGATATGACAAGAATGGATTTTTTTCAGTTAACTATTTGGATATACATACGTCCTAATACTTTCATGCATCCATAAAAACATTAGGGATGGAAGTAATCAAAGCTTAAGTGGGGTAGAGGGTTGGATTTTTTTTTTTTTGGTAAAGTTTAATGGTGGATTTGTATTTTGTGAATGGATGAGTATCCAGAGTTATGTGCCGTGACAAACTCGATACAAAGCTAATGAGGTTTTCATCATTAAAAAAAGTACGTTATAGTAATGAGATCCTTTTTATTATATAGGCATAGGTCACAATATCTACAAATGTGAATGAGAAACAATAAACCAACAAATCACAGGAACATGATTCACATTCCAGTTATCTCTTTAAATAAGACAAGCACATACTGGATCAAAACATTAATAAATAACATCCAGTTTGTTACTATTATCTTAAGGTCTTTTATATAAAAGGAGACCTATGTGTTGGTTTCACATTTTCAGTTAATGGCAGTAAATAATGGACCAGTACAACAAAAGGATGAGTTTTATACAGAAAGCCATGTACTTTGACACACTGTCTTTGCAGTAATAGCTTTGCCACTTGAAAATGTAAGTGCAACAAGTAGTGGATTGTCTTGAAAAACCACCAGCCTTAAAGACTCACACCCGATGGCAACCTGCTCCTGAGGCAGAAAATACAGATTATTTCCTGCCCATCTACTGAGTATCCCTCAAACAGGGGTAGGTGTTGGTAAATAAACTGCTAGCTTTAGTTACTCTACAAAAGAACACCAGAATTTGGGGTGAAGTTTGAATTTCAACTCGCTTTGGAACTAGGAAAGCTGCTTCAGCTTCAGCAACAGAGAGATTCCCTTGTGATGCCACTGCTTTGGTCCAATAGAAACTTTAGAGCGAATCAATTTGCACTGGAGTGACCCCAGAGATCAGACCTGGTCTGTGGATGTCTGTGCGACAGCTCGTACACCATGATCTGAGAAATGAACTTGCAACAGCTTTCAGCCTGCCAAGAGCCTTGGCCAAGTGCTCTGGAGCTGATAAAGGCATAAAGGTGATACAAGTGGGCTGGGAAAAGTTCTGAATCCGCAGGAGGGGGGAGTGCTACCTAGAAACTGGGAAGTTTCTAAACCTTTCCAGCAGAATTTCGAGTTGTTGGCATTTCTGTGATGGTTTCGAGCTGCTGATGAGAACCACGGGAAATGCAGCATGTGCTCATTCCTCACTTGGGCAAGGATAATATATAATATTATAATATATTATAATATATTATAATATAATATTATAATCCAATATAATATTATAATCCATATAATATTATAATATATTATAATATAATATTATAATCCAAGGTGGATTCACCCTCCCTTCCCCCCAGAACTTCTGCTTACCAAACCAGCAAGGGGCTGCTGACCCAAGGACTCGCTGCTCGCTTTCCAAAGCATCTGGAGGAATTCTGCCTGCACATTTCACTGCGGGGCTGGCAGGTGAAGCACAGCATTAACCAATGCAAAAGCAGCTGCCACACTGACCCAGCCCAGGATTCAGCTTGGGCTCTCTTCAGCCAGACTACACTAGATGAGCAATTAAGCAGCAAATGGTGACTGTTAGGAGTGTGCCTAAACCACAGCTGAGCACTTCAAGTGGATAATTCCATCCAAACCCTGGGAAAAAATAACATACATCCAAGTTTGGGCCTCACCAGCAGTTGTTGAACTCAACTGAAGCGTTGCCATATCACACCTCACAAAAACAAGGTAGGAAATTCACCAGCTACACTTTGTTGGAGACAGACCAGTTCTACCTTCTCCCAGTATGTGTTCTCTCTTGTCCCACTGGAACCCAAAATGAAATAGAAAAGTTACCAGAAACTGTAACCCTGTGGCTCTGGTGGGGCTGAGCCAGGTGGTCAGAGTTCCTCTGAGCTCAGGATTCTGGAGACAAGTGTTAGGAAACCTTTCTCATGTTCTTCATGATAAGTATTAGGCTCTTAGTTTTCTGAAACTTGTGAATTTCCAGCCAGAGTTTGGTTGATCTGTGACATTTGTGACAAGAGACTAAATAAGCACTAGCACGGGTCTGGAGTGGAGGCTGACAAAGTACCTAATACAAGGGTTTTTGTCCTTGGTTTTCAAATTCTGACCAGGCATCGTTCAGCTCCATAAATATCATCTTTGCATATTGTTCATATGGCTGCCCAGTAGCCTGGAATAAAAACAGAGACAAGAGAGGGATATCAGAGCTCCCAAACAAGCTGGCACATGAGCAGATTCCCAAGCAATTCCAGGAATTTTCACTTTTTCCTTGACAAAAATCAGCTGCTCTGGAGGGCTGCTTTCCTTAAGAATTTCTTGGCTTTGCTGCTCCTCAGAGCTGACAACCCCCAGAGTGGGATAAACCACCATAATAAATGTCACCTTCTAAATAATGAATATACCCTTGGCATTTGGAGAGGATTTTACCTGCATGGAAGGGGAAGAGCTGCCACCTGACACGGTTCCTGGATGGAATCAGAATTCCTGCAAACTTTGGGCAGCCCACATCCTCCCAAGCCTTGGGACTCCCATTCCCTGCCAAGGGGAAGCTTCCTCCTCCCCTCAGGGTGTCCCAGATGGAATTGTTGCTCCCTGGTCAGCAAGTGGCAGCAGCCAGGGCATGAACCAAAAGCTGGGCAACCAAACATCCTGGTGGTTCCATTGCAGGAGTTTGATTTGGAACTGCTGTCCAGCAGCAGAATGGCTGAGAGTCAGAGTGAGGGTGCCAAAAGCTCTGAATTTCTTGAAGCAGCAGGTTCCAGGCACAGCCTCGGGGCTGGCAGTGGTTTCACAAAACCCCTGGCTGCTTTGGGCAGGGAGGGACCTTAGATCCTAAATGGTTCCATGGGCAAGGACACCTTCTGCTACCCCAGGTTGCTCCAGCCTGGCCTTGAACCCTTCCAGGGATGAGTTGAGAGTTCTCAACTTCCAGAAACCAGCAGAAATCTTGAGCTCCCACTTTCCACAGAGCTGTTGGCAGCAATAAATCAGCAATGCCATCCAACCCTTTATACTCAATTCTGGCTTCCCCCCGAGGTGGAGGCGGCCCAGCCTTACCTTGTCGGGGTGAACGACGAGCACAGCCCGCCTGTACACCTTCTTCACCTGCTCTGGGGTCACCAGGTCTGCCATACTCACAGGCTTCCACTTGGTCTCCCCTGCCCACAGCACCGTGTGCATGGTGGACAGCAGAGCCCTGATGTTCCTCTCCTTGCCTTCAATCCACTCCAGGACCTGCAGGAAGGAGTGCAAGTCTCTGGTTAGATATTCCACCAGGACTAAGTTTCTTCATTTGAATAGCCGTGGCCCTGAGGAGCATCTTAAATATCTTTCCATGCTTTAGAAAACTTCAGAAAACCTTTATCTAATTGCTATTAATTTTTATATCACTCTTTTAAAATTATCATTAATTTTATATCACTTGAAAGTTAAGACAGACTTTGAGCAACATCCCTGCTAAAAACACGGACTTACTAATGCTTGATGGAATGGCCAAAATTAAATGTTTAACTGTCTGGTTCTTTAGCAAGGCTAATTGCACACCTCAACTAAGCTCAGCTAAGCTAAAATGTAAAAGAAAAACCAAAGCATAAATAGATTTTACAGTTCCAGGCTGAGCTGCCCCAATGAAATAAAAAGGCATCAGAGCAAAGAGAATTAATTGGGAAGGCCAAATCAGCTGGGAGCTTCCGTGACTCGACAGCTTTTGTGGGGATGAAAATGGGAGCTGGGAAAACTCCTGCCCACCCCATGGCCTGACCTCTGGCCAGCTGTTGTGGCTGATGGTGGCGTTCAGTGTGGTTACTCTCACTTCCCAAAGGTAAAACCTTTCCACAAGGCTAAAACCAGGACATTTTGAGAGGGTCATTCTGTTTTCTAGAACTTTGCTTGGCTTTTGCTGCAGCTTTTCCTCTCCTTCTGTAATTCCAATTTGTGGTCTCATATTTCACATACAGAGCAGGGCAGACTGAATTCCCTTCCCTTCCGTAAGAGATCTGCAGTTTGGTAATTTATTGAGGAGAGATGAGAGAATTCCAAAGCAGGCAGGATTAATGAGGCAGAGGATTAATTCAATTAGCTGTGCCTGCTAATCAGGGCTGGAGTGCTGTGGAAGAGCAGCAGCCCAGACAGTGACACTGAGCCATTGTTGGTGTGCTCTGGCTGAGGACACAAATGTAACCTTGGAGTTTTCAATCAGTTGAGGACATTGAGTGACTGGGAGGACATCACCAAGAATTTTGCTTACTTTTAGTTTCTCAGGGTCCATCTCCTTTGCCATTTCTTCTTTTCTCATCTCAGCTATTGTTTTGGGACCCTTCTTGTCCTTGTGAGCATTAAAGCCTTGACCAGATAATAAATCTTCAAAATCTGCAGACACCTTTGGCTTGGAATCTTGAAAATGGAGAAGATTTGAAGTTATTATCATTGCATGGGTGCACTTAACACTGGCTGTCTACAGAAGATACATCCTTTGGTTAATCACATTAATGATCTCCCAGTGCTAATGAATGTGCAGGCTCTCATGAAAGATGTTGTGTAATGTTACTTTTAGGTCGTTGTTGTTATTATTATTATAGAATCCCAGAATGGTTTATGTTGGAAGGGACCTTGAAGTTTATCTAGTTCTACCCCTCTCCCATGGCAGGGACACCTTCCACTGTCCCAGGTTGCTCCAACCCCCATCCAGCGTGGCTTTGGACACTTCCAGGATTATTTTGGAAGCTCCTTTGGAATACAGAACTTCCTAAATAGCACAGTTCAGTCCAGGAGAGGATAAAGCACCAAACAATCCACGTGACAGACTTGCTTAGCCCTAACCTGCAAACCAAGGGAAACCCACAGGCGCCCGAGGCTCTTACCGACATTAGCAGCTCCTTTCCCGCGCTCGCCCTGCGCCCCCGTGGCCGAGAAGCTGACGTTGTAGTTGGGTTTGTTCTGGGGGGAGGCGTGGGGCACGCTGGGCTGGCCCTTGGCCTGTGCCCCCTGCCAGCCGTAGC